GACACTGGTCAAAGAGACATCAATTTCCATATCACCCGTCTTGTTTATAGGGAAGAATCACTATTCTCCCAGACCCTTCTAGGCAACATAATGAGCAGGAATAGACTCATTTAGATTACATATTAAAGTCCTTCTGTAGACCGATTGAATTTAGAAATGATGCGGTCTAGAGGTTAGGGACCCTGGAATCCCAAAATCATGACACCTGGGTCCTGCCCGAAAGATTTCGACCCAAGCCTTCTTGTGGCCAAAAACAAGGTTTATTGAAGATTCGCCATATGAGGAATCTGAGCATATGTGGGCTATTGGCTAGAATCTAAGAATCAGCTCATCTTAATGGAGACAAGATGCTCCTTATATACAGAAAGATTGTGGGAGGGATCTAGGAGTGGTCAAGTAGTCCATGAGGTAATCATTACCAACGGTGGGAAATGGAGCCTAGGTGGGACCAAGGGTGAGAAGTGGCCTGGGGCCATAGGGAGGCAAGACAATGGAGGGGAGATTGGGTGAAGCCGCAATGAAAGGCCAGTTAATGAGATTATAGCCTCAGGGGACCGCCAGAGATTTGGCCCTGTGAGAAAGTCCAGGGTTTTTCCTTTCTGGGGCCCAGATTCTAACCCCATCAGAAAGAAAGGGGGATGGGGAAGCTCTGAGTTTCCAAGACAATGATTACTAAGAAAAATCATTTTTCACAGCCTCAAAGTGAACTTTAAGTGGCAGAAATAATTAAAAGCAGTTGTCCTCCTAAGACAATTTGGGATGATTTTAGCAAAGACCTCACCACTTTAGGATTAAAGTGCAAATGATGGGATATGGGCCCAAGCCAAGACCTTTGACCCTCACCCCAAAAAGAATTTGGGTCCCATTTGTCTGTGGGCCCCAGAAAACCCTTAAACTTTCTTTGACCTCACTCATCTACTTCGTCTCAAACAGTTGCCTGAGGCTATACTCCACCCAACTGGCCTTTCATTATCTCTTATTTTGATCAACCCATTCTCCCTTCTCCTAGGCCCTATCTCCCTTTGAAACCCTAATGAAGCCTTGTCTTTGATACCCTAATGAATTAACCTCTTCCTTCCCTATCTTCCAGTTCTTTGTTAGCCTAATGGAGTTTAGCCCTCCACAGTCTATGGTAACCCCTCTCAACCTCCTAGACATTCAGATGGGAATTCTCCCTAAACTCACCCCAGCTTCAGGATCTTTCTCCCAGCTCCTCCTCCAGTCACCCAAAATTACTTGGGTATGTATAATATCCATCCTGGCCCCCATTTAAACGCTGAGATTTCCTCATGCCCACTCATCCTTACGGGCATCACTAATGTTCAGATTCCTTAAGAGTCTGGACTGTATAGTTTATCTCTAATAAAACTTTGTCTTTGGCTGAAAGAAGACTTGGGTCAAATTCATTCGGGCAGTTCCCATGTGTCTTTCATTTCTGAGTCCCAGCACCCATAGAATCTATACCTCATCACAAACACCTCCAGGTAGATTCCCTTAAATTAACAAACAACAAGCCTTAGAGGCAACTGGGATTTAGGAAACTTCACCTCACAGTGTGGTGGTAGGATAGCTGATCAGGGGAGGATTGAAGGACCCTCCACTCTTATGGGATACCAGGCCCAGGTGGGTGAGGTTTAGTGAGCACATGCCTACTGAGTGCAGTAGCAGAGGAGCAGGGACCCTGCTCACTGTCAGCATTAGCAGGAGAGTCGAATCCTGGTTTTGGTTCCAGGGCAGAGGGGTGAGATGAAGTTTGCAGCCAGGAAAGGGACTGACTGACAAGAGCAAGAGCATTTGCAGTGACAGTGTAGCTGGGGGCGCTAGCCTTGGAGGCATCATCCCCCACACCTTGGGACTAGAATTGACTATAATAATAAGACACACACTCACACACACACACACACAAATAGTAAGCAGAGGAGAAAGAACCTGACCAAAGATAGCTATTATGGGGAAATAAGAACAATCCAAGAAAATTAAGAACATTATGAAAAACAGTCAACAAATTGGAAAAAAAGAGATTTAAAAACTTAAGGAAGAAAATAACCCCTTAAAGACAAGGCAAGGGGAAGCTAATGATGTTGTAAGACACCAAGAAATAATAAAACATAATCAAAAGAATGAAAAAATAGAAGAGACTGAAATAGCTCATTAGAAAAATAACTGATTTAGAGACCAGATCAGAGGGAGACAATATTAAGAATTGTTGAATTACCTGAAGTTATGATGAAAAAAAAAAGTTCTAGTTTTTCCATAAAAAGTCTGGTAGAAAGGAATGCAATGTGGGGGCTAGGAGGAAGTTGAACACAGGGAGTTATATTAGTATAAGAAAACACTCTTATTGGTGAATAGACTAACCAGGAAAAACCAGTTCTGAAGTTAAGGTATAGATTAACATAAAAACGGATGTTCCCAAGTAAGGGGGTGGAGGGTGTCTCGCTGAATTGTGAGCAGTGGGAGATGTAATTAGGGGAGGAGACTCACATGGGGAAATTAGGTGCTTTGGATAGGCTGTAACCTCTATACTACCCAATGAATGGGAAAATGGGAAGGAAATTCTAAGGATGAATGGGGAATAAAAAGGTGTGTATTTGTTGATACATGTGCTTTCACATGTGTGCTTGCACATGTGTGCTTGCCTGGCCTTCCCAGGTTGTTAATAAAGCTTCTTCCTGATTCAACACTGACTTCATAGAATTCATGATATTGATATAGATAAGAATAATGAAGAGAGAAATTATTTAAAGAATTTGCCAAGATCATGAAAATTGAATTAACATATAATCTAATATTTAGTGACTTAACTGCAAAAAGTAAAATAAAATAATTTCTAAATTATTACATTTTATCATTTTGCCCTAAAATTCCTTAGTTCCAAAAGTTCCTCCAGTTGATTAAAAGAATAGCTAAGATTTTCAAAGAACAATTGCTATAGTTTCATTCTATTTTTATGCACTAAGCAGTAGTTCTTAAAAGTGGAGTATCTGGGAGTATCTGAGACCCTCAAGGTCAAAACTTTTATTATACTACTAAAACATTTAAATTTCTAATATAATAAGTATTGATAGCTTTAACCCATATATACAAAAGTCATCTGGGGACAGTTCTCAATTTTTTTAGGGTCCAAAAGTATCCTGAGACCAAAATGTTTATAAACTACTGCACTAGATTGAGAATGGTGAGCTAGATGACAGTAATGATGCGACAAATAAGAATTGGTTGAAGAGGTTAGAGCAATGGTCCAAATCTAGTAATATGCATTTAAGTATATAAATGTACTGTCATAGACACACACGGATTCTGAAAAAACTAGCTATATGGAAGTAGTTTGCATTGAGTGACATAGAATGTAAACATGTTCATTGAGAGTAGGGATTATTTCTTTATTTTTTATTTGTGTCCCTAGTGCCTGACACAAGGTAGTTGCTTAATGTTTGTTTATTGATTGATTGATTATTAAGAAAGCAGTAATCCTGCTCTGGTCCTGGTTTGGCCACACATCATCTATGGTGTTCAGTTATCAACACCACATTTGAGAAAAGAGTTTGATTACCCAGAGACCATCCAACGAAGTTTAGCCAAGTTGATGAAGGGCCTTCCCATTATAGCATATAAGGACTAGTTGAAGAACCTGGGCTTCTTTAGTCTGGCGAGAAAAACCAGGGGAGGGTGATATCTTTATTCAAGCATTTGATGAATTATCATATGAAGGGGAATTAAGACTCTTGATTGGCCTACGAGAGTAGAACAAGGGCAACAGATGGAAGTTTCAGAGACAAATTGAGGCTTAAAGTAAGGAAACATCTCTTAACAATTAGAGCTCTTCAAGAGAGGGATGAGTTGCCTTAGGAGGGAGCATTTCCCTCTCAATAAAGGTCTTCATTCAGAGACTTTATGAATGTTGACTTCTCAGATGTGTTACAAAGTAGAATTCTTGTTTTAGTACATATTGGGCTAGACAACCTTTAAGCTCCTGTGAACTTTTGAGATCCTGCAATCTAATGGTTCTGTAATCAAAATAATTACCAGGTGTTTTATGGGGGAGTGTGTATTTATGTTTTGTTTTGAATGGTCTTATTACCTTTTTTTTTTGGACTAAGTTTGAACTACAAAAGTAGTTCAGCACTTTTAGTACAATTTATATATAGTCTTAGAGCCAGTATATGTCCAGAGTCTTTTAGTCACACAACCAATGTGCAAATCAGAGGCAGGGCTTGAACCTAAGTCTTCCTTGGTGACTTCTTTATCTACCATTCCATACTGCCTCATTTTTGTGAGCACTAACTCTTTTATATTCCATCTTTCAGTTGTTTTTCTAACTCATGCTCTTTTTTATTTTTACAAATATTTTTTCCCCCAAAATGAACAAATTAGAGGCACCACATGTATTAGTGACCAATATTTAGGAATAAATGTTTTTCTTGTCCCTTCCTTTTTGGTACATGACTATGACAGTCAAATTCAGATTATTTCCATAGATGTGTGTCTAATTATACTTTTTTTATTTCAAATAAACAATATTACAAAAGCTGAAATACTATTAGCAAATAATGATTTTATAATAATAAACCCATTAGTTTAGGGGGGCAAAGTGAGCATCTAGGGAAGTAAAGGGTAAAGAAGAGTTCTGTAGCAAGGAAGTTTTTTAATATAACTTTAAAAATAAAGCTATTTATTTTAATGACAAAAAATCCATTTGCAATGGCATATAGTTATTGAATTTATCATATCTTTTCTGGGGTAGTAAAGGCTAGAAGCCTGCAGAAGATAGAGGACACAGTTTTCAGATGCATGGATTTTTACAATTTTCAAATCATGCCTAAGACAAAAAAGCATTTTTCCCAGTTCTGTACTTCCTGTAGTATTATATAAAGGCTGTTTTCATTGGGATTATTACTTTCCTATTTTCTAATGATTTAATTCCATACTTATTTCAATACTTTGAAGAATTTCATCTGTGTGAGGATTTCTTAGATTACTAAAACTGTATACTTCAACAGGTTCAGTCCTCTGTGGCTGTTGGAACCCCAGACTATATCTCTCCAGAAATCCTTCAAGCCATGGAAGATGGGAAAGGAAAGTATGGACCAGAGTGCGACTGGTGGTCTTTGGGTGTCTGCATGTATGAAATGCTCTATGGAGAAACACCATTTTATGCAGAATCTCTGGTGGAAACATATGGGAAAATCATGAACCACAAAGTTAGTGCTTTAAAATATTTTTTTAAAACTTCCTTGGTGAATGAAATAACATAATGTTATCTAAAAATGCAAATATCTTCTAGGAAAATAACCAACTTTAAATTTTCAGCTGGAAGTGATTTTAGAGATAAGATGGTTGTTGCCCAAGGCTTTATCTTTGAACCTCTTTACTCTGTTCCTTGGTAATCTAATTAACATTTATCACTTCATCTATTACTTCTCAGCAGGTGCTTGTGAGCCCTATATTTCTAGCTCTGTCCTATCTCCTGAGCTTTCTATCTTTACATATACTTTTTGGCATAATATTTCTACCAGAATGTCACATTAGCAGTGCAAATTCAATATGTCTAAAACCAAGCTTAATATATATCTCTAAAAGTTTGCAATCCTTTATTGACAAATCATTGTCACTTCTATCCCATGTTAAAATATTAGTGTGTACAGTTAGTATTTTCACTACAACCCCTGAGGGTGCCCTTCTCTCTTTACCTGCCCCCATTTCCTTAGCTCCATGATATCCCCAAACCCACCTAACACATTCAAACAGTGGCAGCAGGAAAAGATTCTCTAGCCTTTCCCACTTTTATTCCTTCTTTATCCCTTCGCCCCCAGCTTATGTCACTCAGAACTCAGTAGGCTGCTTGACTGCTCACATGGCTTAGTTGATATGGGAGTCATCAAATCTCTTCCTTCTGGTGAGATGTGAAGGACCACCAGGCCTTACCATCTTTCCTGTCCCTATGCCCTGCAGACCTCATCACTATCACTTGACTTATTGATGTAATCTAAGGACCTTTTGCCTTGCTTTCTGCCCCTTTGCTGAATCCTTAAGGACTTCTGTTTTTTTTTCTGTCTACCCTGCAACTGAAGGTTTTTTTTTTTTGAATGTGTTTCTTCAGGATGTCTGAGTGTGAACTCCTTATGAGCAGAGACTACTAACTTCTTTTTGTATTTCTAGCACTTAGCACAATGCTTGGTACCTAATAAGTGTTTAATATATGCTTTTTTAATCATTATCTCTTTTCCAATCACTATCAAACTAATTTTGCCTATTTGGTCATTACTGTGCTCAAAAACTCTTCAATATCTGCTCACCAAATAAAGTCCAAACTCCTTAGCTTGCTTTACAAGGCGCTCCACAAGCTACATATTCTCTATGTTGTAGTCAAACTGAATTGCAAATTAATCTTAGTCTAAGTACAGCTGTAGAGGTGGGAGGGTCCTTTGAAGTCATCTGGTCCACTGTCTTCCAGGAATTTACATTCTACCAATGGAATACAACACATATTCAGGTCAGTAAATACATGATCATTTGAGAAGGGAGACTCCTAACCATTGAGAGGATCCAGGAAAGTATCTAGATGGCACCTGAATGCAATCTTGTAGCAAGTGAAGGATTTATAGAAGTGAGAAAGCCCTGAGTTGCAGGCATGAAAACAGAAGATAAGAATGTCAGATTCGTCAAGTTTAGCTAGAACATAGTCTGTTTGAAGAGGAATAATGAAATTAGCCTGAAAAGATGGGTGAGGGCCATAGTATGAAGAGTTTTAAATACCAGAGTATTTTGTATTTTGTCCTAGAGACATATAAGAACCATCAAAGATTTATAGGGTGACATGGCTTGACCTGTTCCTTAATATTAGTTTGATAATAACTCAAAAGAGTCTGACCTATCCATCCCCACTGGAAAAACCCGTTGGAATAAAGAATTCCTGTTGTCTAGGCCAGTAGTGTCAAATTCAAATAGAAATCGATCCCTATTAGCCTGCAGGCCCCACATTGGCTATGAAAACCACAAATGAACATTGTGTTGTATTGTGTATTTATTTTCTTAAAACATTTCCCAATTACATTTCAGTCTGTTTCACTCAGAAGTTCTGCAGGCAGTTTAGGCTTTAACATGAGTTTAGATGTACAATCTAAAATACTTTGTTTGCCTATATATAAATACATGTATGCACATGCATCTGTGTTACACATGTGTATACAACACACTAAATATGCAGTCCTATGTATACATATATGTATGTGATACACATGGTACCTGTTTATTACATGCATGCATACATATATATGACTGACTGCAAATTGGAGAGTCGGGTCAGCCCATGATTAACACGAGACAGAAGAAGGCTGAGTGAATATCTGTTTGTAAATTGCAAAGCATCTATAAGGAAATTCAAATTTTTCCTCAGAACAAAAGTTCATCTTAGTAATACCAATATTATACCTGAGATTGGTGTTACAATAAAAATAAAAATAATGAAACCTAAACAACAGCATCCTTATTGTTAATAGTAATAGTTTGGCAGATATATAGAAGCTAGATTGGAGAAAGGGAGACTAGAAACAAGGAAGCCAGTTAGGAAGCAAGTACAGTCATACAAGTATAAGAGAAGATGAGTGCCTAAATTGGGGTAAAAGCCCTGTGCCTGGGGAAATAGGGGGACATTGAAATAAATGCTACTGAAGTAAAATCTGCCAATTGCTTAGTTATGGCACGATGAGTAAGAGAGAAGAATCAGTGTTGTCTTCAAGGTTACAAACCTGGATAATTAGAAGCATGGTCAAGAAGAAGGGAAGTTTGGAGGAAAGGTGGGCTTAGAATAGAAGATAATGAGTCAACTTCCAAGGCAATAAAAACATACTACTTCATTTGCATGTCTTTTATATATTCATCTTCAGTTATTTTGTCTTATAGATATCCTCCTTTAAGTCTTCTCTCAACTTTGTATTGTCCCAAGTATCTTGCATGGTGTTCTATATATGCTAGATATATAATAACAATAATAGTAACTAACCTGTAGTACTTTAAAGTTTGCATCATGCTTTCATAAATTATCTATGAGGAAAGGACTACTTGAGTAAAACTAAGGCTCAGAGAAGTTACTCACTTGACATGGTCATGGAGCTAGTTAAAAATAGGAAGTAAGATTTGAATCCATGTTTTCCTTACTGCAAGTTCAGCACTGTTGATTTATTGTAGATACAAATATTTTCAGCTCCCTCGTTGACATAACTATCATTATTGATTATGGTGATTTAATATCTGTTGTATTCTTAATCTAATGTTCATTTTTGGTTTTCTTATGGTTGTTCAATCTATAGGAGAGGTTTCAGTTTCCAGTTCAAGTGACAGATGTGTCTGAAAGTGCTAAAGACCTTATTCGAAGGCTCATTTGTAGCAGAGAACATCGACTTGGACAAAATGGCATAGAAGACTTTAAAAACCACCCTTTTTTTTCTGGCATTGACTGGGATAATATTCGTAACTGTGAAGCACCTTATATCCCAGAAGTTAGTAGTCCTACAGATACTTCAAACTTTGATGTTGATGATGATTGTTTAAAGAATTCTGTAAGTATTACATTAAGAAAACTTCTTACCTTTATGATTAAAACCTATGCTTTTGAATAGTTGAATATTTTAAAGACTTTAATAGTTTATAGGAATTTCACTTGTACTGACTTTTTGCTTTTTATCAAAAGGCATTTATTCTATTCATTTTTACATATACATGTGGTATCATTGGGGAAAATGATTCGCTTAAATGTTCACAATTGTAAAAATTAGTTATATTCTCATTTCCCCTAATTTACACTTCTCTTGTCACCACCATTCTCCATGTCACCCAGGCTCATAACTTTAGTGTTATCTTTGACTCTTCCTCCTTTACATCCAAACAGTGGACAAGTCCTGTCAGTTCTACAATCATTTATTTAAATACTCACACTGTAGTTATTTACCCTTGTATTAGGTATTCATGATACAGAGACAAAAATGAAACAGATGCTAATTTTAAGGAGCTTAAATTCTGATAAATGTATATAGCATGTATACATGTAACTAAATAAAAAATGTATACGAAGTAATTTCAGGTGAGTGGAGTATCACTGAGAGATAAGTGGGAGGATCATGAATGGCCTCATATAGGAGATGGCACTTGAGTCTTACAAGGAATTAGGGATTCCAAGATGGGAGGATGAACAGAGAGAATATTTCAGTCATGGCACATGAAAGGTAGAGTACCTAGTTCAGGTAAGAACTTTCTCATCATTAGGGCAGTTAGAAGGAATATATATATACAGAGGGCACAGGTGTTAGTTGAATATGAAGGGATGAAATCTAAACAAATAAAGTTAAGGGGTGAGAGAGGAATGTATTGGGAGAAAGGGAAAAGGAGAGGTAGAATGGGTTAAATTATCTCACATAAAAGAGACAAGAAAAAGCTTTTACAGTGGAGGTTAATGGGGGGGGTTGAGAGGGAGTGAGTAAACCGCACTCTTATCAGAATTGGCTCGAAGAGGGAATGACATACACACTCAATAATTGAATACAGAAATCTATCTTACCTTACAGTAAAGTAAAAGGGGAAGGGGATCAGAGCAGGGGCGTGGAGTGAGGGGGGAGAGGTGTAATAGAGGGGAGGGCAGATTCGGGGAGGGGTAGTCAGAAGCAAAAGGCTTTTGAGAAGGGACAGGGTGAAAGGAGAGAGAGAATAGAACAAATGAGGGGGGAAATAGGATGGAGGGGGATACAGTTAGCAGTAATAACTCTGAAAAAAATTTTGAATCAAGTTTCTCAGTTAAAGGCCTCAGTTCTCAAACAGAGAACTGAGTCAGATTTATAAAAATAAGAGCCATTCCCCACTTGAAAAATGATCAAAAAATCTGAACAGTTTTTGGATGAAGTAATCAAAGCTACCTATACCATATGAAGAAATACTCCGAATCACTATTGATTGGAGAAACGCAAATTAAAACGATTCTGAGGTACTGCGTCATGTCTATTAGATTGGCTAATAGGACAGAAAAGGAAAATGACAAATATTGGAGATGTGTGAAAAATGAGACATTAATTTATTGTTGGTGGAGTTGTGAACTGATCCAACCATTCTGAGAACAATTTGAAACTATGTCCAAAGGGCTATAAAACCATGCATACCTTTTGGCCTAGTAATACCACTCCTAGGTTTGTATCCCAAAAGAGATTAAAAAAAAAAAAAACCAAAAAGGAAAAGGACCTATATGTACAAAAATATTTATAGCAGCTCTTTTCTGGTGGAAAACATTTGAAATTGAGAGGATGCCCATCAATTGGGGAATGGTTGAACAATTGGTGGTATGTGATTACAATGGAATACTATTGTGCTATAAGAAATGATGAGCAGGATGCTCTTAGAAAAACCTGGAAAGACTTGCAGGAACTGATGCAAAGTGAAATATACTGTGGACAAAGTAACAGCGATATTGTGAGATGATCTGCTGTAAATGACTTAGCTCTTCTCAGCAATACAATGATCCAAGACAACTCAGAAGGACTTCTGATGAAAAATGCTATCCTTCCCCAGAGAAAGAACTGCTGGTATCTGAATATAGATTGAAGCATACTCTTTTTTACTTTCTGTATTTCTCTTGAGGGGTGGATTTTTTTTTGGTCTATGTTTTCTTTCACAAAATGACTAATATGGAAATCTTTTGCATGACTTCACATGTATAACCTATGTCAAATTGCTTGCCTTCTCAGTGAAGGAGAATGGGGAGGGAAGGGAGAGAATTGAGAACTCAAAGGTTTTAAAAATGAATGCAAGAAATAATTTTTACATGTAACTTGGGAAAAATAAACTACTAAATAAAATGTTTTTAAAATGACCATTTTTAGTGAACAGCATTGTGGTTAAAAGTATTTAATTTAAAAATATACTTTACTATCATGTTTAATTTAATTACTTCAGTTTAAATTATTGTGACACTTCAGCTGTTTTTGCAGTATAGAGAATGTCAAATTAGAAAGAGAATTGAGTCTGTTAGCCAACATTTATTTTCTATTTTTTTTTTTTTTTTTTAGGCAGTTGGGGTTAACTGACTTGCCCAGGGTCACACAGCTAGTAAGTGCGAAGTGTTTGGTCTGAGGCCAGATTTGAACTCAGGTCTTCCTGACTCCGGGGCTGGTGCTCTGTCTACTGCGCCACCTAGCTGCCCCATAGACAACATTTATTAAACCACTTCTATGTGACTATCACTGTGCTAAATGCTAGGAATACAAAGAAAGAAAAAAAAAACATTTCTGCTCTCAAGAAGTCCAATGGGGGAAACAACATGTAAACAACCATGTACAGACAAGCTTTATACAAGATAAGTTGGAAATTATCAATAGAAGGAAGGTGCTAGAGTTCAGGGGCATCTAGTGCAACACATAAGTAAAAGAGAAAAATGTCTATCTTCTAAAACTTGCCCATCAAACAATTCTTTGCTTGCAGACCTCTAAAGAAAGGAACTCACTATTTCTGATCTAGCCCATTCCACTTTTGGATTGCTGTAATTATTTGGGACATTCTCTTTACATCAGCACTAAATTGCCTTTGCAACTTCCATCCATCCATTCATCTTATTAACTTCTGTCTTCTGGAGCCAAGAATAAAAAGTATAATTCCTCTTCAATCTGACCATTTCCTTAAATTTTTTTTGTGTATCTTTCCTCTCTATTCCCCTCCTGCTAAGTCTCATATTTAGGCAGTAAACATTGTGTATTATGTACCAATTACTGTGCTAAACACTGAGGCTACACAGAAAGGTAAAAGACACTCCTTGATCTCAAGGAGCTCACAGTCTAATGGAGGAGACAATATGCAAACTACATACAAACAAGTTATATACACAGTGGTGTCAACTCAGTGAGAGCCACTAATCTGTACATAAGGGTCCCTGTGACTGCATGTTGACTTAGTTTTAAAATGTAATATTTTCTGTTTTATTTTTAAATTTCCCAATTAAGAAATTTTAAATAATTTTTGATGGATGTTTTCTATTTCTTATATCACCGTTGTATCCCTACATATCTTTCACCTTCAACCTTTCTCTAAGAAGCATCCCATATAACAAATAGTAGGGGTTTTTTAGAGGGGGGAAATTAGCGTAAGTGGTTAATACATTGAGAAAGTCAGAAAACATTTGCAGTGTGTAACACATTGGTGTTATTGCACAGGTGGATCTGCCACCTCTACCCTAGTGTAGTTTGGGAATATCTTCTGATATCTCTTCATTCAAGTCTCACCTGATCCTTATAATTTTGTTACATTTACTTTTGATTTATTGGTATGTCATTGTTATTTCTATTTACATTGCTATAGTTACTGTGTATATTGTTTTTTTGGCTCTGCTCACTTCACTCCACATCATTTCATGTAGCTCTTTCCATGCTAAGCTGTATTCATCACATAAATAATTTCTTATAGTACAATAATATTCCATTACATTCACCTACCACAATTTGTTTAGCCAGTTCTCAATTGATGGGCATCTGTTTTATTTCCAATTCTTAGCTATCTCCAAAAGTGCTATTATAAATATTTTGTTTAAATATATGGGGACTTTTTTCTTATTGATAGCATCCTTGGAGTATAAACCCAGTAATGGAGATTCAAAGTATATGTATATTTCAGTCACTTTATTTGCATAATTCCTAATTGTTTTCCAAAATGGATGTACTATTTCATAGATCCACCAACATTGTATCAGTGTACCCATCTTCCCACAATGACTTTTTTGTCATTTGTGCAAATTTGCAGGGTGTGAGGTGAAACCTCAAAATTGTTTTGATTTTAATTTCTCTATTATTATCGTGATTTGGAGCATTTTTTTTCATGTGATGAATAGTTTACAATTCCTCTTTTAAGAACTGTTTTCATATTTCTTGGGGAATGGCCATTAATCTAATTCATATTTATTAACTACGTATCTGGGACACCAAACCTTTATAAGAGAAATTTGACATAAAGTTTTTGTTTTGCTTCCTCCACCTCTTTGACCACTTCCCATATGCTAGACACATCAATATTGTCTCTGCAGGAAGCTTCAAGTAGTCAATTATTCTATCTTTTGTAATTGCTTCTATCTCGTTTGGTTTAGATTACATCTCCTACCCATGGCAGTGAGAGGCACATGATCTGTTTTTCTTCTAATTTTTTTTTAATAGTATGAGCTTTAATTTTAAGGTTGCATCCATTTAGAATGTATTGTGGAGTGTGTGGTTGGTCTAAGCCCATTTTCTGCTGGATTGCTTTCCAGTTTTCCCAGCAGTTTTTATCAAATGATGAGTTTTCCCCTAGGTAATATGTTTCCTCTTTATCAAACATTGTGTTATTGAGTTCTGTTGTTTCTCAGTCTCCCTTGTCTAGTCTGTTCCATTGATCTATCTCTCTAGTTTTTTTTTTTAAACACATACCAGATGGTTTTGATGACTGACTGCTGCTTTATAATGTAGCTTAAAGTCTGGAAGTGCTATTCTTTGTCCTTACTTCTTTTCATCATTTCTCTTGATATTCTAGATCTTTTGTTTTTCCAAATGAATTTTATTAC